GGTCATGTACTAGGTTGTCCGAGTATGGATTTTCTGTAAGGAATATGGACAGTGACTAGTATATTTTCCAGCTTAGTGCAATGGTTGACTTCTCAAAAGATGCAATCAACTAAATCATTGGGATTTTAAAGTAGGAAGGTTCTTTGGTATGGGAGTGAGTGTCACGCCCCGGACCTAACCGGACACGTCAACAACCCGCCGTACAGTACGAACAGTCAACCGCAGTCCAACACATTCATACTATACAAGGCGTCTGGAATATCATTCACACATAGTACATCCATAAACAAACATAATGTAAAATATTCATTTAAAGCAGCGGAAACATTCAATACAAGTGTTCATGCCACACCTTGGCAAACATGGGCATACAAGCCCCCAAATAAATATTTAAAAATAATATCCATGAGCATTAATTAAATAGCTTGTAAAAATGGAAACGGAGGAAGCACGAACCACGTCTCCTCTCCTTGGATCCTCACGAAAGCAACGACGATGGTAGCAACCTTCAAGTTCTACCTGAAACTGTGAGGTGGCCTCCCCCGTGAAGGGGAGGTCAGTACTTGGAAGCATTTGACAAGTACAATGACAACTATACTAAGTATAATCAAAGTTTCAATTTCCAAGACCCTCGATCTAGGATGTTATTATTTTATAATCAACTCACGTTTCTTCATGCTAGAGCTCGGCTCATAGTCATACTAATTCGTGCTAGAGCTCGGCTCATAGTCACACTACGTTTTGCTAGAGCTCGGCTCATAGTCATACTACATTTTGCTAGAGCTCGGCTCATAGTCATACTACATTTTGCTAGAGCTCGGCTCATAGTCATACCACATTTGCTAGAGCTCGGCTCATAGTCATACTACCACGTGCTAGACCTCGGCTCATAGTCACGTCATTTAATCCTAAACAATTTCTTAGTCTAGGCTCCCTCCATTTTTGAGTGACCCTTAAGGCCTACTCCTAATGTAACTTGAGTTCATAAAGTCCACCTTAAAAATATCCTTTAAGGTTACTTAGCTCCAATATCTTGGGATTAGCCCCAAAGAACTATTGAACTTACATTTCCGACTAGTATTTCTATACTAGTCGCTTAATCTTAATATAACCAATGCTAATTCATAATAATTCGTATATTTCAATTTAATTCCACATTCAAGTATAGTTTGGCTCTAATATCAAAATATCACTTTTATCCTTCCATGACTTCTTTTCATGAGGTAAGAGTATATTTATCACAATGAACATTCATGGTTAATACAACTATCATGCCATTTTATTCATAACACATAATCATACACAATTTATTCATAAATTTGTATATTATGCATTTTCACTTATAAACAATATTAATTTCATTTAGGCACTTTTTATCATTAATAAACCATGCCAAACACGTTTAGTTCATTTAGGTAATCTCATGAAATTAACCCAATAATTATAAGCAATATAGTCGGTCATCCTCACCTTAGCGAGCTTAAGCGCGTTCTACGCTTCCCGATTGAATTTTGACTAATTCCGGCAAACTTTGACCAACTCCGGCGAACTTTGACCAACTCCGACGAAACTCCGGCGAAACTCAAAAGTACTTTAATCAAGTTCCTAACAAGGTTTTAACATCATAAAACCTTAATCAATACAAATAACCTTTAAAAGGCTATTTTCCGGTGAACTTGTCGGTTTGGCTTCTAAGTCCGTTTTTGGACTTAGAACCACTCCCCAACCTATTATTTCACACTATAATTATGTAGAACCACCCTCAAGGTTCTTCATATGATATATATCACATATGATAGAAGAAAAATAAAGGAAAAGTTAATATAAGGTTATTACCTTAATCTTTCTCACTTTTCCTAGCTTTTTCTCCCTTTAATCTTTCCCCTTGGACCTCTATTGCTTGAGCTCTCTTCAAGGATGGGAAAAGGAGGATGGGGATTTTCTTTTCTTGCTGGGGTTGGTGCTGGCCGAGAGGAATGAGGGAGAAGGGTGGTACATGGCTCTTTTGTCTCAATAGACTCAATGAGTGTGGGTGAAAGGCCCACCTCATGTCCCTTTGATCCTTTTCCAATCAAGCAACTTTCCCCTTCCTCCCTTTCTTAATTCATCCGCCCAAGACATGAAAAAATGTGGCTAATTTCGTGGGTTGGCCCCCACCCCTGTGGGAGGTCAACCCCTTTTGTCCAGAAGTGTACACTTTGTCCCGAAAGTTGTATTTTTCGGACCGTTTAAAATATATTTTATTTGATCGGGTCAGATAAAGTATATGTTGTGTTCTCAATCATTATGACCCTTATAATGAATATACATTCCCCAACATTAATTTATAAACCCCCGAAATTCATTTCGGGCTGTTATCCGTGAAATTACCAAAACCGGTATTTGAGCCACTTTTGACCAATCGGTTCATATAATACCTTTCCCTTGGCCCAAATAAATTGTCCACTACCATATAACTATTATCTTGACCAAAATAAATAAAGTATATGGTTTCGGAAATTTCGGGCGGCCCCCGCTCCCGGTGTGGGCCCCATGTGCGAATTTACTATTCAAGCACAAGAATTAATAAAAATTCACAATGTTGCATACTCATTAACCATTCCACAAGGTTCAATACATTATTCACTTAAAAGTAAATACATTTGGGGACGGTGTTACAGTGAGGATGAGGTAGATTATGTGGTGGTGAGGGAACATATAGTTGGTCAATGATCTATGTAAGGATAGGTGTGATAATAAACACATAGATCAGTGAATGTTATATTCTCTGGAGTTTCAGGGACATGAAATGTGAAACCAGATTCAATATCTTCCAGTTTTGTAATCTTCATTAGTAATGAACTAAATGAGATTTCTCAGTTTTTATTCCTTCATAAGATTATCTTTAGTCAGCAATTCATCCTTCTAGCAAGATGCTATTTGGATTTCTTGGAGACTTAAGATTTTAAGTTTTTAGAAAGGAATAAGTTATCTGAATGTTCTTGTGAGTGAAGCACAAATGGGATATAGGTTGAACATTCAAAATAAACTGAGTACTAGAGATGTATTTGAATATACCTCTTCATGAGTATCTTCTCTTTGATGAAGATGGCCAGAATGATGATTTCATGAGAGTAAGCTTGACTTCTTTTCAACTTTGCATAGCAGTCCCTTCTTGGTGGCTTGGTGAATCCATTAGAAAACAGCTTGTTGTCTCCTTTCTTGTTTCTTTTCCTTCATGATGAGTATCCTTCATGGTGTGTTCCATCTCAATCTTCTATAAGTGCTCAGTAAGTTGGTGGTTGATCTTTTTGTTCAAAATAAGCCAATTAAGGAACTGACCCTAAGAATAACCGCTCTGATACCACTTGATGAGTGCCCTTAATACCAACTGAGTTCTAAGTGAGGTAAAAGTCTGGGGGGGGGGGGGGCGTGAATTGTAACTATTCTAAGAGCATTAGACGAGTGGGGTGGCGGCCTAAGTGTAGAAGGGAAATCAGCTGGCTGGATTTGAGCGTATAGAGTGTGATTTCCTTCTATCCACTTGGCTCCTTTGTTTTTCTACTTGTTCACCACTTTGTGTGAACGACCACCTCGTTGTTTACCACACTTGGTAATCCCGCACTCCTTCTGTATTTATAGACTTGATCACTTCATCTTCACCATTGGCTGAGAAAATGAATCTTGACCGTAGCTTGATCTAGTTGCTTTGATCCACTTGACTGAGGCAGCATGGTTATCTCTTGTCACGTAGAGACACGGATCAACAATATTCAGGTCAACTTGATTACACATTTCAATGCAAGATAAAAGATAATTTATCTTTTATTTTCCTACGCAGAAACTAGTATAAAGCTGAGTGATATTTCAATGCTACCTTACAATGAACGAACACTTGATTTTGTAAAATAAATTTATAAGAAATTTATAATGTGATAAAAATCTCTTATAAATTTACTATTTAACAATTTGTTCTTTTGTCTGCAAGTTGGTCTTTTGTATAAGTGTTTTGTGCCAAGAGAAGAGAGAATTGGATTTCAGATGAGTTAACTTGAAAAACTCACTTTTCAGCTGGCTGCCAAGCATTTGAGCTGACTGCCCAAAAATAAGCTGACTGCTGATTTCTGGAGTTTTCCAGTTAGCTTAATCCTATCGTACCAGTTAACTCTTTTCGTACCTTTTCTCTTTTTGATCTTTTTTCTTTTCTTTTGTTTTATGGTACGTTTAACTTCTCTTTTTAGTACTCTTTGCTTTTTTGAGTAATTTACCACTAAATATGGAGCACATTACAATTACACAAAGTAGAACATAGTAGAATCAAAACTATTGCATTATACATCGAAATCTATGAGACCTAACAATTTCCCCCTTTTTGATGATGCCAAAAACTAGAATCTAAACAATTCAAGAAAAGCAAAACTACATTGAAGTCCTAGTGTTTGATTCTATTTCCCCCCTTTTTGGCAGCAACAAACATCTACCCCTGGTGCTGTTTCTTGGATGATTCTCCGGGGAAGACGTTGTCTGCCTGTTCATTTCTTCGTCTCTCATATGCAACCATGATCCTGTGGAGTTTGTCCTGATAGACTCTATTGATTGTTTTCATTGAGAGTGATGTCTCAATGTCTTGTGTTCACAGTCATATCAGGGCATACTCCTCTTCATTCTTCATGTTTGATGCATTGAGGACGAGTTGTTCGATGTAGGATGTTCTCCACTCTTTCCATCTTAAAACCAGCAGTCGTTCTTCCCACAAAAATTCTTTCTCTGCTTCATAAAGAAGTTGTGCTTTGAGTTCAGCAACTGATTCTTTCTGATTTGAAGTAGGAACTGTTTGTCGTGAAGTCGAGACTGATGAAAGAGTGAGTTCAAGTGAAGGTTGTTTGGATGAGGAGTTTTCCATGTCAATACCCAACCCGCTCTTATGGGTGGATATTGACATGGGGTTAGGCCCGTTTTTGTGAGCCGGGCAGGGCCGTCCACACAGTCTGGCCCGAACCCGTTTTTGTGTGCTGGTCTAACCCACGAGCAGCTCCAGAACTCTCATTTCCCCTCCTAGTGTTGCCTATTGAAAACCAGAAAGCTTCGAACGCTTCGGAAAAAATTCCCTGTAGAGCAATAACCGAATGGCAGAAGAGCACCGAGAAGAACAAGGCGGTGAAGAGACTGGCCGCCTTCAAATTCCGACGGGGCGGGTCAAGAAAATCATGAAACTCGACAAGGACATCAAGAAGGTCAGTTCAGAAGCCCTGTTTCTCATCTCCAGATCCACGGAGCTCTTCATCGAATTCCTTGCCGAGAGATCGGCGGAAGTCGCAGTACAGAAGAAGAGGAAAAGTGTAAATCTAGAGCACTTTCGGGCTGCCGTGAAAAAGCACCGGCCGACCAGTGATTTCCTCCTGGATTCTCTTCCCATGCCTTCCGAACCCACAGGCAAACCATTGAAAGGTAGCGGCAATCGGTCCAACGGGATGAAAAATTCTGCTGGGACACGAAAAATCGACGCTTTCTTTTTGAAATACACTTAGGTTTGTGTTCTTTGAATTATTATTTTTTTGCTAGAATTACAATTTTTGTTTATGATTAGGTTTGTGCCTTTTTTAGAAGGGGACTTGAATATTAACGTCCTTGTTCCAGATGGATTATTCTTAATTCTCCATACTTAGAGAAGATTGTGACAAATTAATCAATATCCATTATCAGTTAAGTTGCAGGTGCGTGTGCAGCTGTGCTATATAGCAGTAGGATTTCTGTTCTATCCAAATGGCTATTGAAATTTGGGGTATGTGCACAGTGGAAATAAGTTTGATGAATCTCCACCTGGTAGTCTTACACTTTCACCAAGGGAATTGGTCACTCAGTAATAAGGGCCGCTATTAGCCTATTACATTTATCATCATATAGATAGTACATAGTTTAACAACTTAGTTCACCAGCTCATCTAATAACCCAAAAACCCATCCAACTTGGGTAAATAGCTCAAATGACAAGAACCTTGAGGACGTTTACTTTGGTTCGGCGGTTTCGTATAGTTGATAAAGTATGCCTTTAGGTGGGAGTGTCTGTAGCCTGTAGGTTATACAATGAGTGGCCTCTCAAATTCTGCTCTTCATATTTTCTTTCTTTTTCATGTTTGACGCCAATGCATTAACCCTTTCAGTTAAAGGTGACACCAAATATAAAAAAGTTTTTGTTATAAATGACAAGATCAGTGCTTTATGGGAACACTGATACTGTGAGAAGACAAACTCTCGAGTGAAATAAGCTGTAATGAGGCTTTCACCCAAAACATACAAAACTTCCCTGGGTGTGGAAGATGGGTGTGGAAGATCTCTATTGTTGGCCTTTCCGGGCCAGCAGCACAGATCATGCCAGAAGTGGGCATGAATCATACCTTCTCTGCACTCCCCACTTCCGACATGTCATGCTCACTTTCCTGATTATCTTCCACAGAATCATGTTTCACATTATCCTTCTCGCCAGTGGACACTTCCTGTTTCGTATGCACACTCAATGACTTCACAGACAATTACATCTAACTACACACACAATAAAATGTGTGTGCACAGACAACAACATGTAACTCTAAAAAAAAATGTAACTCTAAAAAAACAACATGTATGTTCACAGACAATAACACTTTACTTCAAAGACAAAATTAATGACCTGCACAGACCTTTTTAAATCATACCTTATCTTCAGTGGGAACTTCTTGTGTGCCATGCACAACCACCCCCATCAGCGTAGATAACATGGCTTTCATCTCAACAAGTGTGGCCTCCATACCTGTAACAGTATTCGTAAGTTGTTCAATGTCAGCCCTTACATGTGAAAGTTCTTCCATAACCTTCATTTCCAGTGAAGTTTGACATCCTCATATTCATCTCCATCATCTTCTTCGCCGTCATTTTCTTCTTCATCTTCCTCTCCATCGTTCTCATCATCCTACAGTACAAAGTCAATTTATTACACTCGAAGGTGTAATAATGGTTCATGCATATTATTTCTAAAAGAAAAAAATTACTTCTTATCGTTTCTTGTAAAGGCTCATCGTTAAAAACTAGTTCCTTCAAAGAAGAATAGTGGAAAAACCCAACAACTTTCCAATTCAAAATGCTAGCTTGTTCAGATTTCACTTTTTGCCCACATTTTCCCGCAAGTCCAGGGATGTTCTCATACGCCCAAACCTGTATAAACAACAACAAAAAGTTAATCAAATGTATGGCCATTGATAAATTCAGATTGTCACACAGATGATTTGCGAAAAAGACAAACCAAGTTAACACCAACCTGCAACACGTGGGGTAAGGACCAAACAGTGAACTTAGTGTTCTTGTACTCTGGATTCTTAGCTAACGCAGCTTCAAATTTCTCTGGTTGACCACACACCAACGACTTCATATTGCTCACCATAAGGTTATAAGACTCGAGTGCCTAAGGATATTTTTTAAAGTTCTCAAAGTCTTCAACCCAATCAAAATGACCGGCATTGATCTTTGTGCCGTGGTCTCTAATCAGCAACACACCATCAACCACGAAAAGGGAAGCCAACTTCACAACTGCTAACGGGTCAATCCTCTTCTTCGGATTCAATGCCTCCATTGTTTCCTTCAAGTCTTGGTACGTCACACGCTTGTTTCCTTTAAAGAATAAATCTGCCACACTTCCTTTCTGATTTCTTTTAACAAAAGTGGGTCTGGTGGTGTACGCCGGCAGGTTGGTTATTTCACAAAAATCTTTGAAAGTGAACTTGTAAATCTTCACTCTTACGGAAAACCAAAGCTCATCCACGGGTTGTTGTTGAACCAGCCGCAACAACAACATATGAACAATCTGGCCAGAAAATTGCATTTCTGGAATTTTAGCAAAATGACCCCATGGAAGCTTCTTGAACTCCTCTCGTTGACTGATGGGTATGGAAACCAACAAGTTTGCCAAAATATGTGCATTGAGAATAGTGGGCCGAGAAATGGGACTTAACGGGCACCACTAGTTCATGCTTCTTCCTACAAATAACACAAATGAAGTCATATTTGTACACTAATGACTTAAAACAGATTCAATTCTACACCCCAAACCACATGTGTACAGATCTTATATTTCAATCTCCCAAACATGTTCAAAATCCTACAACATGGCCTCTTAAGAACCCCAAACCCCTTCTAGGTTCATCAAATTCAATAATTTGAGTGTATAATTCGAAAATACCATATTCATTTCACAAAATTATTAATTATCAAGGAAGACAAACAACATATCACAAACTACGGACAAATCAAGTCACATGTAAATACACAAAATGACTTCCATGAAAATCAATTGTACAACCTAAACTGTCTGGCCACAGACATTATCCCTCGATCTCCCAAACAAAATAAAAATGCTACAATCGGCCCCTTAGGGTTCCCAAACCACCATTACAGTGTGTTTCTCACTTCATCAAACTCAATTTTTTCAAGTGTAAACTTCGAAATACCATAATGATTTCAAAAGTAACAATAAAATTTAACAACAAACACAAACCACACAATAGGGGGGGGGGGAATTCAACAATACTACTCACAAATGTGTTCAAGAAGTGGATAGTACCTTTTGTTTGAAGCCTCAGCCAAAGATGACAGTGATGTACGAATCATTTTGCTGGTGGGTTCTTGAGGGTGGACGCCGGCTTTCGCAGTCACGCCAGGTGACCGGGGATGCTTCGCGATGAGGACGGTGTGTGCGAGAAGAGACGGCTTTGGACTGGGGATGGATGTGGAGAGGCGAAGAAGAAGAAAGCCGTGGGGGAGATGTGCGCAGAGAACGAGAAAAAAACGGCGAAGAAGGAAGTGGGGAGGCGGGAGTTTTGGGAAGAGGTTCGCACGTGGGGGGAGAGGGATAAAAAAATTAATTTTGATCTGTTATATGGTATACAAATTGTGTACACTAACCATCTTCAAAAAATATGTTTTTACTATGATCGTGACCTTTTTATGTGGATCTCCCTTATGGGGGCATCTTAACGGTTTTTACTAAATGTCTATGCAGGTGTGTTACCTATTTTGGCTATGTTAGTTGTTCTGAACTGTTTGGAAATAGGTAGCTCTGTGCCAACAAAATTAATCATAAACTAGACTACGTATGAAATATAAACAACGGCCTAATAAACATACTACGTATTATGTACTACCTATTAGATCTATATACATATTTTTTCACACTTTTTATCTTATGCAGTACTCCGTAAGATTTTCTTCTTAATTTTCTATTTGGAATGACCAATAACAATAAACTAGTTATAGATTGAATTTTATATTTATGTATGTAATATAAATGTTGTTGGGTGTGTTTCGGAAAATAAAGAAAATTAATTAAAATAAATAAATTAATTAAAATGACGAAAGAAAAACAAGAAAAGAGATGGAGCAGAATTTGTCAAAGCTCGTGCTACGCACGATGTCCTTAAAACGTATTTGTTGCCTCCCATGGTGCTAGGAGCGTTGCAACAATAGTTTCCCAGGATACGATGACAACGAACTAGTGTTTGAGCACTCAAACAAAAGTTCCAGCGAACGAGAACAAAGACTGAACACAGAAGGAATTTTCAGAGTGCTAGCAGTGTGTTTTTAGAGCTAAAACGTGTATGGATTCGTGTAAAATCGTGTAAGAACATGTGTTGTTGCAAACCACCTGCCAGCCATTATATAGGAGGATTTGTTGTGTGAAATTAGTGAATTAATGGACCTGAACGTTGGACATCAATGACCAGTCCGTTGGGCATTGAATCGTCCATGAACTGTCCATTTAACGCTGCATTAAAAGATATAAACGTTGGGCATTAATTGTTGTAACGTTTCAGAAGCGCGACAGAAGACCCCTACGTAGTTCTGCCTGAAGGCCATCAGAACTGGAGCAGTTCTGATGCGCGGTCATCAGAACCGGAGCATCTCTGCCCGAAGGCCATCAGAACTGGAGCAGTTCTGATGCGCGGTCATCAGAACCGGAGCACCTCTGGTCGTGGCCTTCTGCCCGGAGCAATTCTGTCAACTTGGAAAAATTTATACGTTTCGGGAAGAAAACAAAAATTAATCGTATCTCTTGATAGATAGATTTTTGGACGACATTCGTGTCCGCAGGTCGCGGCTTTTCTTCTCCGAATTCGGGATTTGATTTGCACCCCCCTGCGCGCGTGGAGAGAGCCTTTACCCTTAAGAATCTTAACTCCATAAGGGGGGAGTCCCTTTATAAAGGGTAGCAAATCCCTTGGTTTTCCGGTGTGGGAAATTAACACTAGAAACCCATCCTTTTTCCCCAGTTTTTCCCTTCTAACGGGTAAACTTCGAAAAGCGATTTCTCATTCACCCGTTATCCGTTTTGAGCGTACCATATATCGAATTGTAGCCCTAAGCAAGGACAATCCGAAAACACTTTGACCCGACCCAAATCGGAAGTGGACCCCACTCAAAAAATTGCCCCAAAATAGCCATTTAATGCAATTTTTCACACATTTTTTCAACAAATGTTATAGACTTAGAGAATTAAACGGGAGCCTTGCGTAGGGGTTAAGGTGTTGCTGTATGATCGAGAGGTCACGGATCAAGTCTTGGGAGTGGTCTTTTGTCAAAATTTGACTGGGCAAGGCTTACTCTTTATACATCTTGTGGTGGGACCTAGAATTAGTAGGCTTGAATTGAACTTGTAAAATATTCGAGACGAGTTTAAATTAACCGAACTC